CGTGGCCTGGCACCAGGAGGGCTGAAAGCCGACAATCCCCGCAACACGACCCCCCAAACTCGAATTCGAGCTCCCCCGCGTGTTTGACAAGACCATGCGGCAGACTGAGAAGCTGAGGAAGATCCTCCACGACGGGATGTTCTCTCGCGTGCCTGCGATGTTAAGGTCGCCAGCCCCGCATTGCAATCCTATGCTCAAAACATGCCACCAAGACCGTGTGGGTTGTGTGATGGTGTCCGGGTTCCGACATCACCACACCGATGCATTCTTGGTTCAAGGGGTGCGGCAAGGTTCAGAGCCGCGCTTTCGACGCTCAATACTACGATGAAGATATTGGGGTTTGGCCTTCGGACTGTCTCAAGCTTGACGATCCAGTCAGGGCCAAGATGCAAGAAACCATGCTCGTTAAACCGTGCTCGCTCAGTTGCTATGCGTATGCCACACCACCGTGCTTGAGCCTCGGCAGCCTTGGCCCGTCGACATCTGAGTCAGTTGCAAGTCTTGCTTCTTCTGTGAGGGGCTTTTCAGAAGAGGGCTCTAGCTGTGGATTGCCTGCGGCCTGTCAAGCACACCAGCTGGAGCCCCGCGCACGCAGATCCTCCATTTCACCGAAGTCCAGACTTTGCTGCAGATGAGAGTAGCTGCAAACCCAATGTGGCAAGGAGTTTGGACGCAGCACTGTCAACTTGCCCCTACGCATCGTGGCCGACATTGGCAGGAAGGTTGAAGCTGGTTAGGCCCGGTTAGGCGTTCTCACCACGAATCCTGCACCGGTTTGGTTCCGACCGGGAGGTCTGGTGATAAATGCAGCGTGAGATGATGGGATGCTTTGCCGTGAAATGCGAAGGTGAGAGTTGGCAGGGAAGCAGCTGAGTGAGCTCAGGGAACAGGCTGGCAGGGCTTTGCTTCAGGTTGTGTCCGTCGTCCACCACGATGACATCGTCACACGGGCATCATTGAACAATGTGAAGGTGATGGGAGTCCTGGGTTTCTTGGCAGAACAGGTCTGCAAGCCAGTATATAAAGAACACTGAAGTCGCGAGCCCTCGCCCTGAAGTTGTTCTGTTGCAGTGGCGACAAGAAGGCAGAGAATACGCGTGGCACACAAATCACAAACGCTTTGAAAGCCCAATGTACCCCGCCATGGTATGGGTTGTCCTCAAAAGGACCCCAAAAGGCTCCCAACTCACCGAGGAAGCCGCAGCAAGAAGCTAATCGATGATGGGACCTTCGAGGCCTGAGGGCAAAGAAGAAAAGCAGCCAGACGTTACCTCTTTTTGGGCGGCTCGATTGGGTAACCGCTGAAGATGTTCGAAGCCTTGTAGTGCATGCTGTTGTGATAGCAGCTTATTGTTGATGATCTCCGTTTGAATTCTGAACCCTGGGGATGTGGCTGCATATTCCGCCGCAGCTAGTCGAAATTTGGTCTTGCAAGGGTGACAGCCGATTTTTTTCGGATGCTTCTCTCGCCGCCTTTAGGATGCCGACCACCTGGGGCTGCTGAGGCGGGAGCTGTTGTGCAGCAAACAAAGACGTACGTGTATTTGTGCATGTATACATGTATGTTTTCTTTCTTTCAAGCGTTTTCGTCGATGACTCCTGCGAAAACACCGGTCTTTCCCCATGTTCCCCATGGGAATGATTTCCATGACGTCCGTGTTTCCCGGAGATGTCCGGAGCATTTCCCACATCATCCCAGTATGAAGTTATTTTCCCTTAGAGAACATGGACAAACCGACGTTTTTTGATACGTTTTGTTTTTCCAAAGGGCGGCACCACTCCAAGAGGCAAGTCTTGCTGAGGATTTACGCGTCTAGACTATGGCGGAGCTTGCTTTCCAGTCTGATCTGGCGACTTCAAAAAACTCCACCACCGGTCAGCTGAGGCAGGTGCAGGCAGACGTCAAGCTGACCCTTGGCATTGGCGTTTAGGCCTCGGGCTCTGACTGTTGGGCTTGAGCCCCGGCCTTGGGTCCGCCGGATTGAGTTTCTGCGTTGGTGGTGTGGGTCTTTGTGCCGTGGCTTTGGGTCGCAGTTGAGGCTTAGCAGGCCCTGGGTTTAAACTAATTAAGCTCTTTGAGAAGCGCACCACACCTATGCAGACAGCCCCAGGAATCCGAAAGACGACATGTACGTTGCCGGCAGGGTCCTGCCGCTTGGGCCTGCAAAGGATGGTGCTTTCTTCCTTCTTATGCCCAGCAACTAACTGCATTTGAAGGGTCACTCAGCTTCTTGGATCAGGAGCTTCAGAAGGTGTTGTAGAACACAGGTGATCTACAGCAAGATTCCGGGAAGGCTTGTGGGATGTGTGGTACATCGGCCACGCTGTAAGTCTGTTTTTCTGCTGGAGGGAGCTTGATGTCAGTGCTTGCGGCCCACTCGGCGCAACAGCATTCGTTCTGCTGCAACAGCACCCGTTGTGGGCTTCAATCAAATTCAAAGACAGCACGCTGTTTTGTACAGCTTCGCACTGGTCACTGGTCCATCGTCCCTAAGCCCCTTTCGCGCCCCAGCTTTGCCAGGTTCCTCTTCAAACATGGTGTGGAAACCGACCCGAGCAAGGCGCAACCATCAGTCTTGCTGGCTCACAAGATGTCTTGTTGCTGGACCATTCTGTCCTGCCAGCATCGGGAGAGCCCTTCACAGCACCTTCCCTCTGCCTGCAAGGAGTTTGCCGTGTAACTAAGCCTGCGACTTGCCAAGCAGGTGACTTACGGAGCTGCGTGGAAAGACGGCACCTTGATTAACATCCGACGCCTCGAGTTCTCTGCGCCGCGGTGGCATTAAAGCATGACTGTCCAGGATCAAGTCTCTCAGCTAGGCTCAAGACATTCGGGTCTAGCATTTTAAGGTAGCCAAAGATGAAATATAAAGGTGTAAAGGTGGTGTCACAAAGGTACATGTGTGCGTAAAATAAAGGTGATTGCGAACGCGAAACAAAGGTGATTGGAAACGCGAGGCAAAGGTGACTAGGCATGTTGCCCTTATAATTGATCTTGGAGTTACCTCTACCTTGTGCTTACCTTTTGTTTACTTCTGGTTGTTTTCCTCTGGTTCTCCTTTGCCTTTGCTTTGCCTTGCATGTACCTTTACTCTACCTTTATACCATTTGATTCGAACCCTGAGTGTTGGAAAATCCCGCCCTCGAAACTCTTAAAGCTAGGATACACGAACCACAATCCGAAGCCCGAGAATCTCAATGAGGCTGAGGTTTCGTGAGTGAGCGCCGCCTGCATTGGAGTCTGCGAGGTGCGTAGTTTGGATCCAGGAAGCTTCATAGCAAGACCCTAAGCCATGTCACCAGGCCCTAGAGCACTGAGCTGACCCTACCAAGGAGACGGCCCTCACCGACCATCTCTGCACCGGATACATCGACGGCACGGCACAAATCGCGGCTTCGCTGATGCCCCAGGCCGTTTATGCACCGCGCGCGCTCGGAAGGATTGAAGAAATCAAGGTCATAGACACAGATGGTTGCCGTTGACCCATTGCGAGCCGAATGGGTCCCGCTTCCATGAGAGAAGGTAGCCATGGCCTCGAAACCAAGCTTCATGGACCGTGGATGTCCTGGAGCTTTGCAAAGAAGAACCTGAGAACCCAAACTGAAAAATCCCTGCCCATGTAAACAGGCTTGAATCTCCTGGTCTTGATCCAGTCATTAGGGTTCCATTCTGAAGCCCTTGAAGCCCTGAAGTGGTTCTGTGAACATAAGTGTTGGAGCAGGGGCCTTCGTGTCTGAACACAATCCCAGATGCGCCTATGAGCCTGGCAAGGCTCCCAAGTCCTTTTGCCCATGGCCGCAGCCCGTCGACCACATGCCGAAACCGGAGGAGGAGGTTTGTGCTTTTTTCCTGCTAGGACATTAGATAGAGAATGGAAGACCCAAAAAACCCACCCTGAAGCTCTGCAGCTAACGTTGAGCAAACATGCTCCAACACATGCTAACACTGCTAACACCCTTACAACGAGGGATGTGAAATAGTGTGAAGGATGTGGGGTTGGTCCGTTGGTTGGAGATGGAGGGGACGTGTTAGCCATGTAGCCGCCGCAAAAAGATCGAAAAAACTGCGGACGTGGACAATGCCAAGCTCCAAGCAATTGATGCAGGTGACATTGGGGGACTCTGAGGAAGAATCAGAGTGACAGCCTGAAGGGCTGAGCTTTGGGTGAGTTTGCTTGCGTGCAAGTCGCAAAACCCCAACTTGACCTGAACCTGACATTGAAATCCGTCCGCCCAGACCGGAGTCGGGTGTAGCGGGTGTTGAGTTCTGATCCCAGTTTCCTCGAGTTTCTGCCACTTGGGCTGACCGACTCCGGCACTGGCCCTGACGCACTGGTTCCAAATCAGGTCTGACAGTTTTAAGCAGGGTGCCAATTGGGTATTCGCAGGAGAATCTACGGGCGGGGGGGCCAGTCGACGCAATGCAGAACTGGAACTGCCCCTTCCACGAGATTCTCCAGTAGTTTCAGTTCGAGCCTTGCGCACCTCGCACCACGGCGTGGCATCGCTTAGGGAGTGACAAAAAGCTTGTCGGGAGGGCGCCAACAGACAGGCCTCAGACAAGTTGACCTCTCGCACTTGCACCCAAGATTCCACGCGTCGGCTATTTGCTAGGTGCAAGCAGAGGGTCGAGGTCGTTAACATGACGCAGGGCAGCTACATTGATTTTAAGCTTCCCGAATTGGGCCATCGTTTCCCCGGGTGGGCTAGGCTTTGCTCCACCTGTCGTATCCGTGAACACTACTCAGATGCTTCAAATCCCAGCAGCCTGTGTGACTTGGTATTCCCGTACAGACCTGTCACTCCATCCCTGAACCGTCGGGCCAGGTCAGCAGAAGCCTAAGCATTGACCCTTGAAAAAGGCGAACACAGGGGCACGAGGAAGGGAGTCAACGAACCAAGAAGTCTCGAGGGCACACCCAGGCACATTGGCACATCACTGACAACAAGGAGTCCATGTCAAGGCTCAAGCCGAGGGTCGAAGCTGAAATTCAGCCGAGGCACCGACGACGTCCCCGGCCACGAAGAAGGGCTGGCAGAGCTCGTCAGAGCCGGCAATGAGGCAGGCAGCAAGGATTTCTCGGGCAAACGCTTCAAGGGCATGAACTCTTGTCAGGATGAAACAAAACAACGCGTATTTCAGGAGCTATGGAAGGTCTTTCTAGATGCGCGAAGTTCCGAGCAATGCAGAAAATGCCGAATCCTCGCCAGGTGGCCAACCATGGCTGTGAAGACAAGCCGTATGGAGGTTACAGCGAGGCCTGCGCGAGTGGGCATTTGCGTTCGGAACTGTTGTCCTCAGGAAATCCCTGAGGCAAAGTGGCTGAGTGCGATTTTTTGAGGGCGCTTGGATGTGTGCGATTTCGCGGTTTAGCCTCGCACCCTGGTGCACTCGACTGGGCGGCCGTCGTTGTTCGGGGTCTAGAGTCCCTCTGTCCGGCTATTTCCGAGCCTTGCTGCATCTGCCATCAGCTTGAAAGCCGATTGTCTACGTCTCTTTGCTGGAGCTTGTGCTAACTAGCTCCTCTTGCCAAGCAGCTTCACTTCGATGCTCGCCCCGAGCCATGCCAGAGGCGCAGTTCCGACACGCTTTTCTTCGGGCGGAGCGGCTGGGCTTGAGCTTACGACTCCTGACACTCCTGACACATGGGGGCCATGTCTCGTGAGATCGTGATGAATCAACAGCAAGGAGCTCTGGCGTATCCGCCGTTCGAAGTGTCTCTGATGCCTGCACGATCCGCATGTTAAATGCACTTCTATTCTTAGTGTAACCGAGGAGCGTCTGTGAAGCCGTGCGAGCACTCAGCCAGGCCGCAAAGCCGCAAAGGTATGCAAATATATGCAAAGGTTTGCAAAGCCATCTCTCCCTCCCTCTCCCTCCCTCTCCCTCCCTCTCCCTCTCCCTCCCTCTCCCTCCCTCTCCCTCCCTCTCCCTCCTTCTCCTCCCTCCCTCCCTCCCTCCCTCTCCTCCTCCCTCTCCCTCCCTCTCCCTCCCTCTCCCTCCTCTCCTCTCCCCCTCCCTTCCCTCTCCCTCCCTCGCCCTCTCCCTTCTCCCTCCCTCTCCCTCCTCTCCCTCCCTCTCCCTCCCTCTCTCTCCTCTCTCCCCACTCTCTCCTCTCTCATCCCTCTCTCTCCGGTCTCTCTCTCTCTCTCTCTCTCTCCCTTTCTCTCTTTCTCTCTCTCTCTCTCTCTCTCTCTCTCTCTCGCTTTCTCTCTTTCTCTCTTTCTCTTCTTGTTTTTTTCTCTGATCAAGGGGCACATGGCGAATGCCCAGTTCTAATAGCATTTTTGACATCTGGCTTCTGCATAGTTTTCCTGAGTTCTAGGCTTGGCAAGTTCAGGAGGTGAAAAGTGTAAAGGTGGGCGGCCTTTCGCTCAGTCCAATGTCACAGTGTCGTACTTGTACTGTAGAGGCGCTAATTAAAAGCTGCCTGCTACTGAGAGCTAGCTGCGAGATTTCAGGTGTCAAAGTGCCCAAGGCAAACAGAACCTCACGTGACTAGCGTGGGAGCGTCAAACCGGATTGTAGAGGCGAACGCGAGAGCGGAGGTGGCCGAGGCTGAGCTGGAGGAGGCAAAAGGCATGGCAAAGAGACGCATGTCAATATTTCAACATGCTGGTTTGTTCCTTCGTGTTGAGTGCGTCACAGTTCTACCAACATGTTGGCATGTCTCTGATTGCTAACTTCCTGACAATGGATGCTGCGGATTCTGCAGGCAAAGCCGGAGTCTTGGAGTCGACTGTTCCGGGGATGCTCACCCATTGATGCTCATCCGGGATGCTCAAGTGGGATCACCGTTCCACCATCCGTTCCGAATTCGATCGCGTGCTCTTGTCGGGAGCGAAAGCACGGCCGAATGTGTCTCAGACCTCCACATCCCGAAGATCTTTGCAACATTGTAGTTGTATCACGGGCCACTTAAAGGGGCACATCTTCACATCTTGAGAGCTGGCTGTTAGTCTGTTCGACAGTCGCCTCAACGGTCCTTCGAACTCCAATCGATCCTTCAGGCCGAAGCGCTTGAAGCTCCCGACGCTCACCTGCCGGACCTTCCTTTGGCTGGAGTACGTCAGGTTAGGGCATCTCAAAACCCTGCAGCATGTGTAGGCTGCGAACCCGCGATCACGCAATCACGCAACATCCGCAGGAGAGGCAGCTGCAGGCGGAAGCCTCAGCGGCCGAGGGCTACGCAGGCCGGAAACATCGGAGTCCCAGGATTCCAGTGCATAGTTGCGCTTAGCGATGCTTAGTGGGGAGTCAGGGTTCCTGTGACCATGGGCCGTTGGTTTTGGTCGATGTACCCCCGTTTGCACATGCTTGCTCCATCTTAGCATTGGGTGCACCGTATGGGGGCCCCTCGCCCCTGAACATCAGCAACTCGAAGCCTACAGAATCGCGGAGCTTCCCGAGATACAAGAATTACCATTGCACGTTATGATCTCGAGCCACGAGCTCTTCTGGATTTAAGCGCGCAAGCCCCGTGTGGTCATTTCAAGCTCGGCCACTAAAGCCTGTAGGTACTTCAGTGCCACCGGCGCCGACGAGGGCTTCAGAGGTGTGATTATGCAGTAGTCAAGTGTTGGTCAGAACGGTGGTGGTGGCTGCAGTCGCTGCAGTTGGAGGTTCTGCCGCCGCTTCATCAGCTGAAAGAAGTGGTAGTCAGAAGTCATATCAGAGAGACAGCGAAGCTGGGGGTTGTTGCATTCAATCGAGTTGTGTCTGGCGCAACGTCCTAGACTCTTCGGGTCTCCAGCAGCGTGATACATGTGTTGGTATGATCGATCGCTCCGCAATTTTATGTGCAGGTGGCAAAGCCCAGGTGGCAGCGAACCCAGAGGTTGATGCTGCAGATATTGAATCAGGCGTTAAATCATCAAACGTGCATGTTCAGAATCTACTGTGCCGATCGGGAGTGACAGCACCCTCGGCATCTGCAGCATACATGAGTTGAAACCACGGTTCGTTTAGCCACAGTCTTCAACAAATCATGCACTGCACCACAGCGCACACGTGGAGACCTGAGCCCGGAGTTCTCTGCAGGTATGTGCCTTGCAAGCCGCTATTGTGAGGTTTCGTGCACCGCACGCGGACATCAGCGCGGCCATGCAGAAGGTGGCTGGTTCATGAGGTGTCCATTCTGATCTCACTTGGCCAGGAGGTCAACTTCATTGATCGGACTCTTGACATGACTTGAACATGCCAGGCTTTCTGAGAGCGCATGCTCCTACAATCTCTTTTGCTTGACAAAGACACAGGGAGAGTGAGAGGAGAGTGCGCGTGCACCATCACACTCAAAGAAGACGGCTGGAAACGTGGGGTTGACGACGAAAACAGACGCACCACATGGTCCGACCATTCCTTGAAGCACCTGCAAATACCTGGGAGGAAGCAAGCTGCCTGCAAGCCCGCAATCCCGAGGTCCTCACTGCCGAAGGCTTTACGCATGTGCTGTGTGTGGCTCTTCTGCAAGCAAAGCTTAGAATTCAGCAGCGATCCTGTATACAGACGTGGTGGGCCTGCGAAGAGCAAAGGTTCACGCGAGCTTGAGGCCGTCTCTAGCACGGTCAGCAGCTAGCAAAGTAGTTAAAAGTCACACGCTTCCATCAATGTCCCTTCATGAAGCACGCAGCTGTTTCGCAGTCCCCTTCTCTACCAAAATGGTTTGTTGACGGCTCAACAGTTGCAATCAAGCAAGGACAGCTTCGCGAACGATACTCAGATCAATGACGCCGCTTTCATCTCTGACTCCTTGCTCTCGATGGTTGTGCCTGGTCTGACGAGTTATTGGATATGCCCTGAGGGATGACGGACAGGCATGTTCAGTCCAAACTCTGAAACGCTCTGCCCAGGATTCCACCGGAGGCTCCATCGTGGTTCTCTGGCAGCCTTATGGTCCTGAAAGGCGCTGCACAGTTTTGACCCGTGCACTATGGGGGATCGAGCTGAATCACACCGCACTTTCCCGTGTTGCGATCCAAGGTGATACACATGCCGGAGAGAGGCCCTTTGGCAGCAGAGCGCAGCGCATCTTTGCAACACCAAGTAATCCCCAAGGTCTGGGACAGCATTATGTGTGCCAGGGTCAGAAACATGAGCGTTGAAAGGCCTGGACAAGGCACAGCTTGCGATCCACAGTTGGGTAAGTTGCTTCATCGGCTCCGCTCCATCATCTGGCCTCGAAATGCAGCTTCAACGTGGCTGTCGCAGGTCTTCATAGGTCTTGATGGGTCGCGTTTTCAACCACACGGCTCAGACACTGAAAGAATCACACGTGTCACACTTGTTCCGCACGCTCCCCACAGAGTCCACAAATGTCTGCAGCGAAGGTTTCCGCGAGCACAACTTTGAAGCGCTCCGGCTCCTGCTCTCGGGCGTGGTTGGGAATGTTGGGACTGCTTCTGGGGCTTTGCGGGGGCCTGCAGCAGCTGTACAGTGGGCTTCAGGGGATGTGAAGGTTCACTCCATCAAGTCTCGTTTTATGTTGTGGTCTAAAGGCATTGACATTGTCCTACAGCTTTTTCTGATCGACAGAGATCGCCCTGTGACTGCTGGTGATCAGTCTCCTGCGCGATGCAGGCTTGCAACAGCAAAACCTTCGTGTCGTCACGCTCTCCGAGATGAGCAAAGCGGCAAGGCACCGCGTGCACCGCGTACTTCGCGGCTTAGTAACTTAGCGCGCGAACCATTGGAATGCTGGGGCACAATGTGGCCCCGCGAAGTTTGTTGGCTTGGGTACCCGCCTGAAGCTTCAGCTGCGACTATGAGTACTTATGAGTTCGAGCCTGCTCGATCCAGGATCAACACGTTCAAAGATCGATTGAACTGAACGCTGCAAAGCCTCAAGCGCACAAAGAACTCATTAACAGGATATAGAAGGCCGTCCGAAAACAGCCAGTACCAGAAAAGGTTCGATCATTGCGCCCTGCGCCAGGCAGCCCCTGAGCACCGAGCACGGCAAGGGGAGCGAGGGCTGAAACAACATCACTCGGCGGTGCGGCTGTGTGGGTCTCTCTTTTCATGCCTCTTTGGATGTCTTTTTTTCGAGAGTTAAATCGTTCTATGGTGTTTGCAGGCCTGCGCCCTAAATCTTGTGTGTTCCAGTCACTAGGGGGCTTTTGCCAAATTACTATATGAGAGGCTAGCTTTTGTAGATGCCTCGACAGGCGTCTTGTTACAGCTTTGGAAACTTGGTCCTGCTCGAGAACGAGCCCTGCAAATGTCAAGTTAGCTTCGGGTTGTACATGTGCTTGTGGAGGGCTACGCGCCCAAAGCGTGTAGACGGAATGGCCCAAGATAGCCACCCTCGAACTGTACTTCTTTGCATCCAGCTGCTCAAGACACATGGAAGCTACCTGGCAGTCATACCGACGCAACCAGGATTCAGAAAGGCATCGATGTTGCAACTGCTACCATTTGGAAGGACCGCAACGTTTGCGCGTTTGCAAGCCACGGAAGGATACGTACCGAAGCTTAAAGTCTCGTAGCTTGGGGCTGAAACAGCTGAGCTTAGGCCACCTGCACGCGATGCCCGTATGCGCATTATCCGGCCACAGTAGAGCTAAGTCGGCATTTGCATTTGATCCGGAAGCTGCGCGGCGAGCCCATGGAGCCTCCCAAGACGGCTGCATGCCCATTCAGTGAATCTCCAGTGGTTTGAGTGGTTTTTCTTTAGACGTTGTTTTGTTGGCGTTCCAAGTCCTCAGAAACCCCGTGTTGAGGAGCACTGTACCAGAGCCGTATGCCCTAGTACATAATCAGAAGTGCTGCAGTGCCAGCGTGGCTTGTAAAAACCGAACATCCCTGCGCACCAGCTCGGCAAGGTGGACACCTTCGAGCGGCAGTTCCACTTCGTCTACGAGGAAGTGCGCCTGAAGCACGGAAACGATACGGGATACGGGTACCATATTCCGGGCTTATTCCTGCCCCTGCCCTGCTTTGCTGCTTTAGTGCCCGGATAGTGCCTGCATAGTGCCTGCAGAGTTTCGAAGGTTCGCGGCTGCGTCGCTTCATGTTTCAATGAGGTACCTGTGGCTCTTTACCGCTGCACCAAGACTGGCCTGCGTGTCGCCGCAGCGCAGGCTCGGATGGCTGCCATTTGGTCTCTTTCACATCTTGACGTCTGCTCAGATTTCGTTTCTTGATTCCCGTGTGTGTCCATGGTGACTTGGGTGAATAAAGTGTTTTGTGGGAGATTGCGTGGGATGCCTTGAGGGAAGTTGCATGTGTGCCGGCAGCCTCAAAGTCCGTTGCTCAAACGGGGTTCGGGACTTGGGCCTCCAATGCGTTTGGGATTAGAAATTGAGAAGGCCACAGATTTGCAATGTTTCACTTCGTTTCACATTGCCGCCCATCGCAGGTAAAATCGCCAACAGTTCATGGCTACTTCACCGTACAGACGGCCTCGAAGCAGCAATTGCAGTCGTGAAATGACAGGGGTGTGGTAACCCGCTTCTCGCCTTACACTTGAAGCCGCGCGGCCACGCTGAGGACGCACAAACGTGTGAAAAGATGGATGGCAAGGTCAGCTTTTCAACATTGCAGCCGAGGAAGCCTTTGATGACTACGGCTGTCCGCACACCCTGGAGCACTTGATCTTTCTGGGCAGTGAGCGGTATCCATACAAAGGAACCCAAGGGAGGGGGGGTGGGCCCCACATGCTGAGAAGCGCTAGCGGTCCGATCAGTCCTGGTCCACGCCAGCTCCGGGCAAGATGCTCCTTCCTTGATTTTTCATGGTGCTAAATCAAGGCCGCAGCATTCCTCAAACTGAAAACATCCCAAGCCGCAGTTTTTGCAGGAATTGCCCGTAACTGCCTCCTCGAGTTCTGTTAGGGTTTTTGTCTTGGATCAGGTTTGCAGCAACAAGGCCTGCAGCTTGTACGAAGCACTCGAAGCCCACACACAACTTCTCACATCATCGGGAGGGAGCTCTGTAGTCTTGCCAGCTCGGGGCCGTTTCATGCTACAGGAAAGAGCGGTTCACGAATAGATCCCATACCCATACCCTGGAACTGTAAGTCTCGTCTAGAAACACCCGCGCGGCAGGCGTTCTGGACGTGTTGGCCAACAGATGCCTTGCGCAGGGGACGAACGCGTGGACGGCGACGGACCGTTTTTCCGTTTAGAGTTCCAGATTTGTACTTCCCTGGGCCCTGGTCGACCATGACTTTCACGCTGACGAAGGCCAATCCCTTTTGCGTTGAGCATGAAAAGGTTCTTTCTTCCCATGGTTGCTTCGATGTTCGAGCTGAACCTAGAAAGCTTCTCCTGCAAAGCTAATGACCATCGCCACGTAGGCTTGTAATGCTTGTAGGCTATTTAGTACATCTCGCAGTGATTTGTTCACCATGTGTCTCCAGGCATTCCCGTTTCCATGCCCCTAGGCACCCCTTTTCGATTCTTCTCGATCTCGTTTTCTCTCTCTTTCCCGGCTCACATCACACAAGCCTAGCTCGGCGTTGAACAGCACAAGCTTCCGCGAGGACCACACATGCTACACCGTAGATACAGCCGGTGCCGAGGGATTTCTGCGCTGCTGGGCTGGCAACGGGAGTGTATGGGTGCTCTGCTAATTGCCAAGAAGGGAGAGAAGAACTTTTCCAGATGCTGCGACCATAGAGCTGTGGGTTGAACTGCGTTGCTCGGTTGAGGCATAGTATGCTCATGGCTAGCGTAAGCTTTCAGGCATTCTGCCCGTGTACCTCGACCACGTGCTTTTCCCAACGCTAAAGGCCGGTACTTCACTTGCCACCTGCTGCAAGATTCGGCGCGATCCTTGTTTCCTGCCGTTTGCTCCAGAGTTGGAGACTCGCGCAGGACAGCGGTTTTGTCACCGAGGTGCACCACATCACTGGTGAGGCACACCCTATCCAAAGAAGCTTGCCATAGGTCGACTACGAAAGGTGGTACCAGCAATCGAACAGTCGGTTCCAGCATCGATGTCGTTGCAAGATGGGGCCGAGAAGGGTGATCATTGCTTCGACGTCTTTCAGGGTTTTGCCTTGACCCTGAACGAGCAAGCAGGAGTTCTAGCCGTCAACTTTTGGCCCGGCCCCTGGAATGGGAATGTGCTGAGAACGCATTCTCTAGACCCAGCAGCGGCGTTATGGATGCTGCCAAGTCATAAAGTACTTGAAAAAACAGACCCCCAGTCTGTACGAGATCACTAGGTATCACACCCTGATCCGACAGAAGAACGCCTTGCAGGGAAGCAACGCCGGTGTGGTGTACTGCGAGATGCAAGCCAGGCACGGCCCTGCTGGTGTTGCTTTCGCGGATCAGCATCCGAACTCAAACTTGTGCCATGCGGCATCGCGCACATCGGTTCCTCGTCCACGTATCTCTAATTCTGTTTGGAGCTTGTTGGGGGTTTTCAAATATGTTCTGAGGCTCGGGATTCCTTATGGGGGAACATTTTTTGGTGCCCTGCCCCAGGGAGAATGAAGCCGGCGACATGTGTGACCGTGCTATGCGTCTCGCAGCGCATCCTGCCTCAAACAAGGGCCAAAGTTGCGAGCGGCATTTCCCTGCAAGGGGCTCTCAGGGAAAAGTCGTGTCCAGTTGCCAGTCATCCTGTCAGAATTTCACGCTGCCAGAGTTGCTAGAGGCACGAGTGTACCAGCACCTTCGGATTCGCAAACAACGGAATTCAATAGCTTCAGCCCGACCTGGCACCCTCGGATAGATCCAGTGAAATTGCCGAGTGACCTTAGCGTGGGTGTTTACGATGAGGTCGACTTTTCAGATCAAATCAGACACCACGAAAAAAGAGCCACACTTGAAGCTGTCACACCCACATGTCTGAGGTACCCCGGGCGCTGCAGCTACAAGTCTGAAACCGGTGGAAGGCTCAAGGATGCCTAGCTGACCCTAGACCTATTCAGTTGAAGCTCGGAGTTTCCACCATGGCGTCTCTAGGATGTTGAACACCCCCCCGACCACAGTCTCTGCATTGCCCAACCCAGCCCCACGCCAGCTTACAACGGACGCGTGCCGGGAGGAGCTGCGCGAGCTCACAAATAAGACGGTGCAAGAGTACCACGGTGCCTACTACAGGTGGGAGCGGGGCCTGAAAGTGCAAGATGATGGGTTCAGTGCTCTATTCCAGCGGTTTCGCGGTTTCCTTTTCAATCCAGCATGGTGTCGGGAGAACATGAGGGTCTCTACTCGGGTCTTTAGAGAGCTCAGTCACTGCAACATCGGTCGAGTGTCACTAACGGGTCAATTGCCGTATAGGCAGACGCTAAGGCTGCAAGCAACGGATAGCACAGCTGCTATGTTACTCCCGCATGAAGTCTTGAGCCTTCTGCTCCCCCAGCCCATGTACTTGAGACTTGAGCTTGCTTCCGATGCCTCGAAGCTGATGGAAGACCAATTGAAGCGAACTTCGGTACACTGATCCCACAGGCCGGACAATCTGTGCGTCATCGTCACCGGGCAGGCGGGCGGTCGTTTGAGGCATTGCGGTATTGCGGTCGATGATCCAGGCATCGGACGTGCCCCGTGCACGTGTGGTCCCTGACACGATATCCTATCATGTGCAGGAGGGGAGTGCGACATCTCAGCATATGCAGCCGGGGGCAATGGTCCCCTTAGCACACATTGCCCAATGATGATCGCACCATTGGAAGCTGATGTCACGAAATGAGACGACCTTAACGTACCTGCTTTGTCATGTAGTGATTGCTCCCATCTCGCACAATGTGCCGTGCATTGGTTCGTCCTCGCTGCTGCTTCAACTTCACAGAGCACATTCGCAGAGCACAACCGGGCCTTCAAAGCACTAGGTTTGCTGGGCATGTCAGCACGTGTGTGCAGAGCAGTGCTGTCAGGACATCAATGTTGCAAGCTTTCGCTGTTGGTTCGCTTGCTAAGCATTGCTGTTGTGAGCACATGATTCTGGACAACATCCGAAGTCGCATGACTTACAGAGCAGTCGATGGAGTGCCAAACCCCAGAGTGTCCTTGGAGCGCCCAACCCCGGACTTTCCCTGGAGTGTCCAATCGCAGGGTGTCTCTGGAGTGCCCAACCCCAGAGTGTCCCTTGAGTGCCCCAGATCCCTTCTGGAATGCCCAGCGCCAGAGTGTCCCTGGAGCGCAACCCGTATTTCGACCCAGAGAGGGTGGGGATGTTCGAAGCAAACAATTTGCTTGTTTGGTTTTGTTTTCGGGAGCACCAGAGAGCGAGGCATTAAGTAGCCAAGCTTGATATCTCAGCCCGTACGTTTGTTTCCGAAGCCTGGTGCAGGTGGATTTCAAGGACCTTTGCGAGGCCACCTTGTCAGCTTGTTATCTTGTGGTGTTTAGGTGGTCGCTGGGGCAAACTCCGAGAGCTTGGGGCTTCAAGCTCAAGATGCTTAAGCTCTAAAGTCTAAGCCCGGGAGCCTTACACCAATGGTGCAGGAAAGCATTCTCAACCGAAGTTCTTTTTTCGATGTTATTGGTGGCTCGTTCGATTGAGGCCTGCCGGCCAACGGTGGCTGCCATCACTGCCTCGGATCGGTCGCCTGGAGAAAGGTTCGATCTGGCTAAGCACTTGAGAGAGGCACCGCTGTAACTTGGCAAGGCCGCAAGGGCCTTTGTAGGTTTTACCAATTGCAGATTCAGCGGTGGAGCCTTCGGGGTCGGGGAGCATTTCTGCCCGAAGCCCAGGATCCAAAAGCTTCCGCCTTTGGAGAGGCGCTGCGCTTGAGCCATAGTCCTATGCCTTTAACCTGCAGCAAAGATGTCCCGTAGCCACGCTACCAGCTGGGGGGCTCAGTAGCTCAATATAATACTCAACATATTCCGCGGAACTGTAGGTCTTGCAGCTACCTGGGCGTTTGCCAGCCAACCGCTTCTGAAAGGGATTTGGGGCGGGATGTAAGTTTCCAGCCCACCTTTCCTGAAAGTGGATTTGGGGTGGGATGCAAGTTTGCAGGAGGCCTTCGAATTGTTACACATGCTTGGCCTGGCATCATGCCAGATGCCAGAAAAAGCCCAAGGTAAAATAGGCTTGAAGAATTTGGCGCAGGTTTCAGCCAATGGCACTTCCCAGCCAGGCCGTTCTCGGGGTCTGTCCCGAAGCCCAAGGATCAGCAGATCGTGAGGCGGAGTCCTTGGATTGAGCAGGGGCTCGGAGTTCAGGACCTTGTGACCCAATGGTAGTGTCCTGGGAGATGCGACAAGCCTTGGGCCCAAATGCTATCACCGGTTGCAGGCCCCTTGGCGCCTTCACGAACGGATCCCGCAAGGTAACATCTTTTGCAAGTTAATAACATCCATGGATGCTAGGATGGAGTTTCCGGCAGAGGATGAGACCAGTGGAGGCCGCAGAATAGCGTTGACTTTTCCAGCGGTTCAGGGATGGTGTGGAATTCACAAAGTATGCGCTTCTCAGGGACTATTCTGCGAGCCTATTGTTTGGGGCTGTGTACCCCATAAACATCGGAGTCTCTTGGGGCTGTTGAGGCTTCAGGCCCAACAGCCTTCAAAGCCCAAGCCCGGAGTGGAAGTTTCCAGCTTCAACTTCCCCAAGCTTTCTAGACCCTGCCGGGCTTTATCGTTGAATTTAAGAACCGGCTTTAAGAAACAGGGGTCCCCAACAACTTGACAAGGGGCTCTTCCTGGATGGTTTAGTACTGGTCCCCGTGGTCCAGAACAATCCGGAGCCCCCCACAGTGAGCCCGAAAAGAAGATGCTTAGAACGGTTTGCGAATGGTTAGAAGGCTTGGAGCCCAAAAAATTGTCTGGGGAGCTTGGGGACACCTCCCCATACTAAGCCGAGCACAACATTACGTTGATGTTGGTGTTCTTTTGCTTAGGGCTCCATTCCAAGACAGCACCCCAAACCTGCACCGAAATCCTGCAGGAGTTGTGGAGCTATGTTGGCCCGGTCCAGCATGGACAGATTTTCAGAAAGTGGTTGGGCTGAAGGCGTGCTGGGCTCCCAACCCTCCCTGCCTATTTGATTTAAATGTTGCCAGAATTTAGATGCCCGCAAGGCCTCCTTGACAGGTAAAATAAAACAGGACCTCGTCACACATGTCACAGCCGATACCCATTCAGAGGCTATAGGTTGCGGTTTCGAACATGAACCTCATGGCACAACATGGCGCACAAGTTTCTGCGAAGAGGTGCTTTTGGCCTACCTCTGCAACCTGGCTCAAACTGTGGGGTCGCGTACACGAGGGGTTTTAAGGGAGGCTGCAACATTTGAGGTTCCAGTGCAGGGGGGAATGCAGGTGCGCAGGTGTGTGTTTGAGGGATTTGTTTGAAAAGGCCATCGTGCCATTTCTTCTTCAAGTTCTTCTGTATGCATATGTCCATATATGTACACACACATATATGTATATATGTATAAGAGAGAGAGAGAGAGAGAGAGAGAGAGAGAGAGAGAGAGAGAGAGAGAGAGAGAGAGAGAGAGAACTCCGAAGGGCCAAACGAGCCAGGCGCCCACTCAACACGAGATGGGCGCCAACACAAGCAAGACCAGGACATCGCACGCGCCCCTGGGGGCGGCCTCCCTTCGGGGGGGTCATGCGTGGGAGAGAGAGAGAGAGAGAGACAGAGAGACAGAGAGACAGAGAGACAGAGAGACAGAGAGACAGAGAGACAGAGAGACAGAGAGACAGAGAGACAGAGCGACAGAGAGACAGAGAGACAGAGAGACAGAGAGACAGAGAGACAGAGAGACAGAGAGACAGAGAGACAGAGAGACAGAGAGACAGAGAGACAGAGAGGGTTAGGTGCGCAGAAAGAAAGAAAGAAAGAGACAGAGAGACAGAGAGACAGAGAGACAGAGAGACAGAGAGAGAGAGTTGGAGAACGCCTCCGCCACTTCAAGCTCAGGACAAAAGAGTGAGATGTGGGGACAACAAAAGACATTGGAGAGGAGTGGGCCACATAGAAGGGGATCGCCGACAACAGCAACCACGGCTAAGAGTCCAAGCGAGGGGAGCCGAATTAGCTCACACCCTCCTCCAGGCTTCAGATCGAATGCATCCTGAAAGCCGGGTCCCCCTTCTTCAGGGGCCCTCTTCGCTGAGCAGTAGAGGAAGAAGAAGACGAAGAAGAAGAAGAAGAAGAAGAAGAAGAAGAAGAACAGGAGAGAGAGGGAGAGAGCGAGCGCTCCCAGTTCCCTCTCCAATTTCATCGGCATTCTTGCTAAATCCGCCCAGGCGAGGACTCGATTTCGCCGCTCCGGAAAGCGCTCGTCGAGACGGTTTCTTGTTGGGAACCGTCGTTGGGGGGGGGGACCGCTTGGGTTCATAGGCATCTTCGAGTTGAACATTTGGGACTCTGCCTCGAAGCTCCAAATAACTCCCCGAAGCCTGTGGTTTCGCGAAAGGCGTCCAGAATTACGGTCCACCGTCATTGTCCATGAATCCATGTCCAATTCTGAACAATCCTGAAACCTTTGCCTACTTCATGGACAGTGCAAATAGCCAGCATTGCAAGTGGCTGAGTCGCCAGCATTGCAAGTGGCTGAGTGGAAGGTGCCTCCGCTGTGTGGGAAAATCTCAGAGGGCCTCCATGACTACAAGGAGGAGACGCGCGTGGGCTCAGGTCTTGACCTTGCACTTGCCCCGCCTCAGCACGAGTTCTCCATGACAGGTCCGCATACGCATGAAGGGGGTGGGACACCGGCGACATGCGCCTATTTTGATGCTACGGAATTGATTGTCGTTTCTTCCGTTGTGCTTGGCACATGACGGTGCCCCTACATCCTAAGCAAGTCGTGCGTCCCCCTCCTGCAAGCGAGGTTCTACCCGCAAGGCAAGTTGCAAAACACACCCCAGCTGAAATGCAGCCCGATCCCTCGAAGATTGCCAGGAGCTCATCAACATCACTTTGAACAGTTGTGGCTTGGTCGGCCAACAGCAGTAGGCCTTGCTCCTTTGGTTGGACGTCGAGCGAATGAGCCGAGAACTTTCGACATGGTTGGGCTGCTACGTGCTGTAGGCGTGCTGTAGGCGTCAGACCACTGCTCTGTCATAAACACCCAGCGCCTTCAAGGCAGCAGAAGCAGGCCTTCTTATCGATCTTGTCGCATCCTGGAATCAAAGGCGATGTTGAGCAGCTTTCCAAGCGCGACGTCACGGCAGAGGCCAGGGCAGTCACCGACCCCTTAATGCCTCAGTTTGTCGGAGAGCCGATGCTTGCCGGACTTGATGCAACAGCTTTGGGAATCAGCCGAGTTAAGGGATGTTTCGGGTTAGTGCGCAGAGCAGCTTCAGGTCCAAGCCGTCTTCGCAGCAACGGCGGCAGAAGACGGATCAGGGATTGATGTCGTTTCTTGGCTGTCTTAAGTCTTAAGCAGCTTGTTCAACAGGAAGGTGCAGAAGTGTCCCGGGGCTGGGCTGGAGATGCTGTGTAAGTACCCCCTCCTCTGGATTGAGAATTCCGGCATGGGCACAATTGGGCACCAGCCGGAGAAGCGCCAGGCTCGGATCCGCAGCGTCATTCGTCAGCAGCAGCGGCGCCACCTCGCCGCCGTGGAGTCGAACCCACATGACCCGGGCAGGGGATTTGGGACGAAACGGAGGAAGGAAGTTAGAGACTTGTTTCAACTGGGAGCCCCCATGAGAGCCAGTGAGAGGATCTCTTCAGCGGCGAGATCATCGGCTCCTTCTGCTATGCACCGGTACGCCAGAGCTGTCATTTGCTTGGGTCTGGGAGATATTCCGGTATTCCGGTGTCAGAATCAAGCAGAGCACTGTGAGAATCGAGAGTTTGCTTGAGAAGAATGGCAACGGCGGGAGAAGAATCATGCACTGAAAAAAAAGTCGCCCTCCATGGACTTACAACAGGGTATTAAACGATCTCGCACGTAGCGCACCAGCACGAAGCTGAAAGTTGGCCTCAGGACTTTGCGCCTGGCGCTGTGGACAACAAGGGCGACTCAGCTCCTTCGCCTGCCTCCGAAAATGACATCTCACGAGCAAAGCGTGGCTCCAAACACCAAACATCCTTCCGCTTAGGCTGCAGATTTTTTTTGGGGGGGAAGCCGAGGGAGGGGGTGGGGGGATTATATGTCATGTGAGACTGTGCGACCCTGCTGCCCTCTGTTGTCCTGTGGTTCTTTAGGCTCTGCAAGCAACGCCTAAGAGACGAAGCGAGTTCAAAGGTCGAGCACGGTGGGGGAGGGGTGCCAAAACAAAGCCGAAGCCACTGTGCCTGAGAACCTGCTGCAGGTAAGGTGCCCTAAGGCCCTGTTCTTTGTCTTGTAATGCTTCAATAAGTGAACCTCTGCAGTGGAGGCCCTAAACTGGAACCCCCGCCAACGGAAAAAAAGCTTCCACACACCCAAAAGTTCAAGCCCAGCACTCCGGCCGCTGACATTGTCAGCAATCGAGGCAGAAGAAAGCCTTGCACAATTGTGGTGAAGATGGAATGTAGAGGATCTCCAAGCAACCCGAGCACCCTCCAGAGCATTCAGGGTTCGGAAGTTTGGGCTTCGGGCTAGGATGCCGCAAATCCTGGATGCACATGCTGCGTATGACGAAGCAGCACTGGATGCCAAATTGACAATCCAAGGTTCGGGCTCGACTTGACACCCCCGCCGCTTTGGAGGCGCACTTGTTTTGCGCTCTTGTGCCAGGCATGTGCAGACCATGGTTGGGGCTGCCGCCTGTGCCAGGCGCTTCTCGCTTGGGAGGCCACGAAGTGGGCAGCACTTTGCAAGGAGCTGCGTGGTTACAGACCTGATGTAGAGTCGAGAAGCCTTTGTGCCGCTGTTGCAGAAGGCAGCCAGGGATCTTTGTGAGACTGGTGACAAATTTAGAATTAAGTCTCAAGGCCTACGGCGTACGGGTGAACATGCAAACCTGCCTGCCATGTACTAGGGAGGACGTGTGGGTGTAGGTTCTCTTTAAAGACTCTTGTCCGAAGTGAACAGCAATGGACCCGGAGGAGTTCCTCGTGTCTGCCTCCAACCCAGGCAGGTCTCCAGATTTGAGCCCCACAGCTGGGGCTTGGTTGGTGTGTGTGTGTGGGTGTGTGTACCCAGAAATTTACTACTGGAGGCTGCGGTCCATGTTCTTGTACGCTGTGCATGGTTTCTGTGTGTCGGTTGTCGCGGGGATGGGTTGCGGGGCGCGGGTGGTTTGCCCACAAGTGTATTTCCCCGTGCCCCTTACACGAGAACTCCCAACTGCTGAACCCCACATGTCTCGGTTTGGGGTCCCCGAAGTCTTGAGTGAACTTTGAGGCCGAGTTGTGGTTTGCAAGTTATCAAGTGCATCTTGTGAAGGTAATTGTGCTGGATGACGGGCGCCATGTTGGCATGGCTTAGGGTCACGTGTCTTGTGTTCAACCCCAGAACCTAGAACTGGACAGGACTATGTGTATGCAAATAAATACAACATGTATACAGTATACTATGCATCCTATACACATGCTAACGGCAGGCGTGACTGTTTGCGGCTTTCCATCGAAGAATTGCGGCGAAAAGATACAGTCCGAGGCGGCCGGGGGGGGGGGCTCCCGACTGGCACTTGGAATGGCGATTGTACAGTTCTGGAACAAATATGTGTTAGGAATACGGTGCCATCTCAGCTTGTTCTTGGGAGGGCTTTTCCCTGCTGCTAGTCACATCCCAGACTTTGTACTGCACATCTTGCTAGGGTCAATGTTGACGTGCCAAGGGTCAAGCATGAAAGGACGTCTTGCAGGCTTAGACTTTAGAAAGCCACTTGTTCGAAGGATGCAACGCGCATTGGAGCTCAGAAGACGGCGCTCGGCGAGGACATCCCCGCGGCCTGTAACTTTTCCAGGCCAACAGAACCTAGGGAAGCAACTTGCTGCGCCATGCGCTTCAAAGTGCTGGTAACCGTGCTCCGTGGGCCGCCCCTGGAAAGCTCGTAGATGGGCATTCTTCAATTTGGCTCACGCAGTGCTCTTTGTGCGCTCCTTTCGAGGAGGGCTGCAAGAAGGCTGGGGATGCTGTGGCCGCTGCCGAAGAAGAGAACGACGTGGCTCAGTGAGACTTTTGAGCATTGCAGAATGTGTTGCCGGATGTGGGGGGGGGGGCTCTTCATTCTCAAAAGGCACTGCATACCGAGATGTTTAGGAAAGCCAGCACGGGCGAGTGAGTGGAGTCAGCAAAGCCTGCTCGAACTTTTCGAGGTACTTCGCACTTCTCCGGCTGATCTCAGGGGCTTTAGGCTTTTTATGGGCATGACGATTGGAGTGAGCGAGCGATCCCACAGAGTGACCCCACAGGTGGACACGCCGGAGGAAGTTTCCGCGGAGTTTCAAGTGCCAGATGTTGCGCCCTTCTGCAGCAGTACGAGTTGTTGCCGTCCTTTGAGTACCTGCTATGGCCCAACGAATCAGGCACCCCAAAACATTGCCCTCTCAGGGAATGAGCCGGAGTCCGAAGGGGTCTTATGTGCATCGGCTGGTCAGTCGGTTACGGCAAGCGGACACTGCCTGGAAGAGTCAGGCGTTCCTTAACTTGGCCCGAAACCTTAATTCCGCTTCAGTCATCCCGAACATGCCTACAGCATGACCATGCTATGGTGGGGCGGGGCGTCCGCTGTCTCACGAACCAAAGGAAGAATGAAACAGCCATACACAGCCCCAGTCAGAAGTCATAGCCTTCCAGCGTACAGATCCATATCTGACAGATGTTTTTTAAGTGGAAAAGGTTTGTGCCAGACAAGGGTGCCCAGGATCAAACCTCAAACATCCGTTGCACAACGTTGCCTATGCGACTGAGGAAGGTGAAGCTGATTGCTGCCTGATTGCAGTCGTTGCAGTCTTGCAGTCTGCAAAGCCTTGAAGTTTGGGGAAGCTGTGCTTTGGGTGGCCAGCGTTTTGCACCTTCAGTCCTTCCCAAACTTGTGGTCTCCCTTCCAGACCCAAGGGAGCCTCAGGCCTTGCATTGCGTGACCCTGAACAAATGTCCAGGATGTCTCCACAGTGTGCGTGAAGAATGGTGTGGTGGAGGAGCTGTATGGCCAGGAGGCAGCCAAGCTGAAGGTGCGGACGCGGGGCGAAGCTGGACGGAGCGTCGTTGGGAACATAGGGAAGACTGAGGCAATGAGAAAAGCAGCGAATTAGGCTGTAGGCAGGCTGTAGGCAAAGTAGTGAGTTCATGATGTCAGGATGTAGTATAGGTGGTGTTTCTTGTTGTTCCTGGTTCGGGACCGGGCTGTTGAAATTCTTCAAGTCCTCAGTCATAGCCCACTGACCTAGGCAGGAGAGGATGCCTCGTGGATTCTTCATGGTTCAGGAGCAGTGTTCAAAGTAACTTCAATGGGTGGTGCAGTGCAGTTTTGCCCGATTCTACCGGAGATGTCCTGCGCTAGGCTCTCTTGAGCCGGACGCCCGCGAGTGAGTTGCCATCACTGGCGTTCCAGTTCGACCACGTCCCAGGCCTGGGCATAAGGAAATATGCTGCAAGAGGGGGGGGGTGTCGGCGTTTTTGCCTGGCTTTTTGTTAAAAGGACTTTCTCACGGCGTTGGGGCGCGCAGCGTTCTCAACAACATGTACGTCTCTGGAAAAGCTATTTTCTAAACAAAAGCGTTGCCTGTGGCATATTTCGGAAACGCCGCTTTCTTGAAAAACAAAGTGACTTTTCTCACGGTGTGGGGGCACACGACGTCTTAGAAAAGCCACTTTTCTCGAAAAACCACTTTTCTGCGAAAAGAGACTTTTCTCGCGACGTTGGCCCGCGGTCAGCATCTGTGAAAAGCCAAAGCAACTTTTTGCGAAAAGTGACTTTTCTCGCGACGTTGGCGCGAGCAGCATCCGCGAAAAGCCACTTTGCCAGAAAAAACGCTTCTCTCGAAAAGCCACTTTCTGCGAAAAACAGCTTTTCTAGGCGATTTTCCCGCCTAACCTGGAAGGCGCACCGCGTGACAGCCTAGCTCAATCGCCCTTCTGACCAACATGGCTTTTCGATGGAAGTGGTTTTTCTCGAAGAGTGCCTTTTCGAGAAAGGGTGGCTTTTCGGGAAAAAATGCTTTTCAGGAAGAGTAGCTTCTCGAGAACATGCAACACATTTGCATTAAGTGACACGGCGCCAACCACTAAAGCAACCAACAGAACATCTTGTGTGTTGCCGCCAGGATTTGAGGGATCTAGTGAGTTTAGGTTTTATGGCTCAGGACCTAGAGTTGTGATTTCAGAAGGTTCCAGATCTAACCTCCCACATGGTAAGTGAGCACGTGAAAGAAGTACGAAGGGTGAACCTAGAGCACACCTTGCCTGTCCAGAACGTTCTATATCTCCGTCAAAGATGTGCTATGCGTGCAAAAGCCCCAACCCTCTAAACCTTAAGCCCAAACCCTGAACCCTAACTAAACCAAACCCTAAACCCAAATCCCAGCGAGCCCCACAAGGAAGTGCTGCGTATGGCTATCGTGCAGCTGTCCACGACAGCGAGAGAAGTGGCTACGCAAACCAAATCCATACGCAACGCAAAGAGACACAAAACTTCTGGCAGACCCTGCCTCTTCCAGCTTTCAATAATACTACCTGCTCAAGCAACTTACTTCCACAACCCAGTAAGAAGAATATATTCGCAAAACAAGTTATGGCTCATCACGAAAAAGGTAACCGTCACGGAAGGTAGCTTTTCAAAAAGCCCTGTTCACAGCGGCGTGACAAAGATCAACCTTCGCGAAACCCGTCTTTTCGCAACAAGTGGCCTTTCGAGAAAAGTGGTATTTCCGGGACGCCGCGCCCGCAACACCTAAAGAAAAGTCACTGTTCGAGAAAGTGGCTTTTCGAGAAAAGGGGGCTTTTCAGGAACGCTGCGCGCGCCAACGTCGCGAGAAATGTAACTTTTCGCAAAAAGTGGGTTTTTGAGAAAAGTCGTTTTTCGAGAAAAGTGGCTTTTCCGGAAAAGACACCCCACGCGCCAGCACAGCGATTGAGGTCTTAGGTGGCGGTAGGTGGCGAGCATTGAGAGATCGATTGGTGTTCGCGCGCTTAGCACGGGCATCCAGTCCATACACGCGCCCGAGGACTCGGCGTATTGCATTGCATTAGGAGCATCGCGCCGTAACAACGCTTTGCAAGCCACAGTGAAGCGAGTGTGGTATCACTTGGAGGCTTGTTCAGTTCACGGGCGTGTCTTGCGCACCAGGTTTCAGCTTCTTCCCCTCACAGTGAAATTGGGACCATGAGTCATTGGCAGGAACTCAGTTCGCAAAGTGCCATGTTATGCTGCCGCTGGCTGGGCTGACAACGCGGCAGCTGGACCTGTCCCGGCCTGTGTTCAGGGAGCTGAACTCGTTGAAGAGGTGTAGTCCTAGCTTCGCTGTTGGGGATTATTGCCCGTGGTATGGCATGCGGCATCTGTGTGGGCCATCTTCGATCGTCGATGCTGTTGAAGAACCACCCGTTCTATCCGAACGCTTCAACTCCTGTAGAGCAAACTTGCGGTATCCTAGACCATCCTGTAGACCCGTCACTCCTTCCTAGTAGCAGTTCTGTTCTGGGGAAGGCATCCTGGGGTTACTTCGCAGCCGGGAAAGCACCGCATGACATGCAGCCTGACATGAACACGAGAAGTGGTGCACACCACCTGGGCGGGTGGCAAGAAAGCACAAAAAGCAGCAAAAAAACAAAATGCACATAAATCAGAAACATATATATATATATATATATATATATATAAAGAACTGTGTCTTGTGCTTCAAAAAAATGGGCATACATGTAAGCAACGACGACTACACAGACCACAACCTGCCGGGAGCATCACAAGGCTTAAGTTGGCAATTTCCCTCAAGCCTTGGCTAACTTGCAAGAACTGCCCGCAAGCCGCAGTACTGTAGCCGTCCTAGCGATGGCATGCCGGTCGACCCGTGCGCTGGCTGCCAAGGATGCCTCCAGCGAGGAGGCCCGCAAAGCTCGCAGAAGCAGGGGTCCGCTGCTGCGGGCTGTCAGCCAACACGGGTCAGGCTTAGTCTGAGCTGTGATGGGGAAGTTTCCATTTTTCCAAACTTAGGGTCTCCATCGGCACGTGTTTGGCCTTGAGGACTTTGTGTATCTTCGTCGATCGTGTTCATTGACCAATTTGATGGTTGGATGGCGATCAAATCAATCCGGTCGGCGTCACCAGCAAACAACAGGTAGCTGAATCAGCAAGGGCAGAAACATTATGAGGTTGCATCTGCCTTCCGCCTGACCTTCACGAACCTACCGCGCAAGATCCTTTCGGACACTTGCATGCAGCCGCTGCATGCAGCATAGCGTGCCGCGAGCCGAATGGTAAGCCTGGTAATTTTTACGCAAACCACGGCGGTTGCAAAAAGGCAATTGTGAAACTCGGTTAGAGTCGCACGCCTTGCCTTCCGGCAAGCATCAAGCGCGTGTGGTCGTGGTCGATGCGCGCGTGCAGAATCCAGCGTCCTAGGCGGCGTGCACTTCCAACTCATTACGGGCACTGGCACGAGCACACAACAAGTGGCTGGCAACTCAAGGACCGAAGGCTTTTTTTATGCCAGCATTGGTGTCCTGCGCTTGCTGAACAACGCTGAAAAGAAACGGACCTCGTCTTGGGTGTGACTTCACCATTCACGGCACATGCAGTTTGTTTCTGTGCACAGACATGCCGGCACGCATTCCATTTTGGCCTTCAGTCTTTGGTCACCGTGCTTGCACTTAAAAAGAACTACACGTGCTTATCAACAACCAAAGGTCTGGGGCATCCCCGACATTCCCCGCCATCATTCTAGGCCGGCCCATCAGACCAGCACCCCTTGACAAAGACAGCTGGAGGAAATGGTTGAGTTTGCAGACGGCTCTGACACCGAATCTTGGGGAATGATTGGATGATTCCTTCCATTTCTTTCAGAGTGTAGATGAGGCTTGCAAGGGCGGACTTTGTGCATATTGCTTCCGAATTGGATGTATCATTCGGCCTGGGCTGAAAAAGAAACTGCTCTTAATGAAGTAATGAGAACTTTGGTGTCAATACCAGACTCTAAGAGTGGGAAGATGACCATCAGACAAGTTGTCGTGTGGCGCAGCCGCCGGTCTCACAAAGTTGGCAATTTGTGTTCCAGGACTTGGATTGCTGGGTGTGATTTGTCCGGTTTTGTGGCTTGCTCTGTTGGATTCCGTGCAAGAAGATGCTTATATTTGGGATTTCGGTGGGGGAATCGCATGCGTGCATACCGAGCCTTCATCCCAGGATGATGAGTCTCCACTTGCAAACTTCGTTCTCGGGCACGTCGGGGCGGCGAGCCCAGGCAAAAGCTTCTTTTTTCACTAGCCTCAATCTGCATGATGCACGCTGAGCACAGCGCAGACGCGTTATCCCCAACCCCCCTTGTGAGGTTGGTCTTAGATTTTTTATTTATACTAAACGCTTCTCCACGCCCGGTCTACACCTCGCCCATCACTCGTATCCCACCCCAAAGTCTCGAGCCCCTGGAGTTCCCAAAGTGTCCCTGGAGTGGATCCCCAGAGCGTTGCTGAAGTGCCCAACCCCAGCTGAACCCAGTATCTCCTCAGAGAATCCCTGGAATCCTTTGGAGTGCCCAATGTTGCCCAGAGTATCCCCACAGAGTCTCCGAGACCCAGGCCTGGAGAGTCCCTGGAGTGCCCCCCACTGTCCCCAGAGTGAACCTCACCCAAATTCAGAGTAGACAGTACGGGTGGGGAAGAGAGGGCGCAGAGGGTAGCTTAAAGACACTTCCACTTCAGGTGGTAGGACTGTCCCCATACAGTCCCTGGACCCCCAGATTGTCCTTGGAGAGCAAGCTTCATTCGAAGTGCATGCATCCTGTGCATTGAGTTGAGGGGGTGTGATCGTTAGACAGCATTTACAGCTGTCCAAGCCCTTGGCACTCGAAAGGCAGCTGCTATAAAAACTGTGAGTGGCCTCGGTTTGAACGGCCCTTGAACAAGTAAGTAGTGCTCAGGACTTGCTGGAGAACAGAATGCCTCATACCACACTAAACTGCCCACCTGCAGAGTATCCCAGGAGTGCCCGACCCCAACCGCGCGCCCAGAGTCCCTGGCGCAGTATCCCCCAGAAAGTATTTTCAGAGAATGCCTGGAGCCCCGAGTGTTTCCAGAGAGTCCCTCAACTCAGAGTATTTTGAGAGCCTGGAGTGCCCAGCCCCAAGATGCTCACAGAGAGTTTTTGGATTGCCCAAAGAGTAGCCCTAGAGTGTCACAAATTCCCTGCCCAGAGAATAGAGTGTCCCTGGCGAATCCCTGGAGTGCCCAACCCCAGAGTATCCTTATACAGAGTTTCTAGAGTGCCCCTGGACCCAACAGAGTGAGCTCAAAACATCCGTGCTTGCATGCTGGGGATTTTCGAAGTAAAAAACTTCAAAAAAAGTGATTTGCCGAACTTTCCAGTTGGGCAGGCAATTCTGTTCAACATGTGGGTGACTGCTGGTTTGGGCACTTGGAGTAAAGTACCCTGAAAGAAGACTTAAAGCAGAAGGCCGGACATTCACCAAGCGCTAAACAACACAACTCCTAACCTCACACAAAGTAAGGGGGTCAACCTTTCAGTCGAAAGTCGATTCATGGGGGAAAAACAGAGAAAGATGGCCTGGGAAACCCTGAAACATCCCATCGCCTGAAATTTGTCCACAGACTCCGTGGCCAAAGAAAGGAATGTGCTGCTCGCCGTCGGCTTCGTCATTGTGGGCGTTACGGTGCTCATTTTTGAAGGCCACGGCTCTTCAAGAGGAGACCTGTGATGCTGTGTTTATAGGATCCGGGAAGACTCCTCGGCGAACGTATAAACAGCTTTATTCACATACCCCAGAGGCCTTCATCCCTACTCGGCCTTCTACCTGGTTGTGCAGGCCCCGGACGATGGATGATAGGGCCTATGTCGGCATGTTGGGCTTGAGACTCGATTTCTGAAGCGGGCGTCAAACTGCCTGAGGCCTCAACTAAGTACACTGTCAGGGGTTCACTGGTAAAGCTTCTATAGCCAGGGTCAAGATGAGTTCGGGAAGGTATTCCGTTAAATGGCTTTAGACTGCCGCGAGGTGATAACGACAATTGGTTATGGCGACGTAACCTTGAGCGAGCCAAGGTGGGCCAGCTTTGTGAGGCATCTCTTTGATGTTTTTGGCACCTGACATGAAGGACAGTGTTTGAACAGTTCCGCATGTTCCGGAGGCTTGGGGCTGGGGTGATCGATTATATGGCATGTGTTTCGTAGGGTTACGCCCCTGCAGGCAGAAGCTCTTCATGATTTTCTATGTGACGTTGGGTACCGTGCTTGTTGCGAGACTCAGGTGCAACTGGTTGCATGAGCCACGTCTAGTATGGCATCAGGCAAACGCACCACGCCCTTCTGCAGCTTCATGTCTTTACCGTCCCAAGACGCGCGGTGCGATGTCATGACTCCTGAGTTTATCTGTAAAGATCGCTTCACCGTGGCTATTGCTTCTTAGGAAGGTGTTGAACGACCTCCTCAACTCCGCGATGTTACGGGCGGAGGGGGCCTCAAAGATGCTGCGAGGGTGAGAGAAACTCTGCAATCATCCCTAAAGCCCTCAAAAAGGTCTCCAGTTCCCAAGATTCAGAGATCCTGTAAGCTATGTCAGTCTTGGGTTACCGTGCCTGCGCTACCAGACTTTCGCAAGACCTGTGGGTAAGGAGCAGCAGGTCACCAACAGTCTGCGGGCCGTAGTCTCCCACTCCTCCAGCTCTGGTAGCAGGCCACTGTTCCTTGTTTCTTGGTGATTTGCGTGGGTGTGCGTGGGCGGGCGAGCTTGCGTTTGTGCGTTGGAACACTGCCGTACGTGCGATAAAGAGAGGGTGCTGCATCAACCTCTCACCTTCCCCAAGGAAGCTGTGGTAATCTCTCAGAAGCACCCTTATGAAGAACCCATTAATGCTGGACAGAGGATTTCTGAATCAATATACTCTGGCTTGCCAAGCTCACAAGCTCCAGACCATCCTTATCATGGGAGGTTGTGGTGGAAGTTTACCTCGGCGCTTGGGCTCGTGTTTCTGGGCGGCTGGTTTAGATGGCGCTTGAGTCATGGCCCCGGTGCCGTGGTCCAGAATATAGAAGCGGTACCTACACGCAAAGGAGCAACGCATGCACCTTTAAGACCTCTTGTTGATCTTCGTGGTTAGTTAAACGTCAAACAAGCGATGCCTACTCTTAGCCACATCGGTCTTGAGTGCGCACCTGCAAGGCAGCAGCACGGCATTGGGATTGGTCGAGTATGCTCTGTTGAAGCATGATTGCAGAGAGCCCGAGGCTCTGCCTGCTCGTTGTGTGGGTGTGCTTCTTTGCGCTCCACGAGAGCTGCTCATGCTCTTTCGGGCGCCTCCTCACAAAAAATGTGTTTTGCTTGAGTTGGAGGCCTTTCTCTCCCTTCGCTTGTGACATTAGAGGTTTAGCAGCTTAGCACGGGTGCTTGGGCACTTCGGATACAGATCAGGACATGTAGCGACAAACATCATCATCATCATCATCATCATCACCATCATCACCGACACAGGTTTTGAGTGTAGAAGCACTCAGTGCGTCATCACGAAGCTCACAGTAGCAACTCAGCCGCCCTTGCATTCAGACAGACCTAGCACATTCGGCATTGGAGGCGTTTCTGCTATCCTAAAAGTAGCTCGCTTTTTTGTCTGATGGATCTCCGACGTCCCAACGCATCGATGAGCAGGATGACTCGCATAGAGGGCTGCGACGATGTTCGATGTCGTGAGACGGGTGGAAAGAGACTCGGCCAAATACTGCAAAAAAACATGGCTTCATGGAGCAGAGTCGTGCAAAAGATACGTGGATGGTAGACTCAAAACATCCAACGCGAGGACCCTGGACTGGCTGAGTGCCGTGTATTTTGGCGTTGTCACCTTCTCCACAGCGGCCCGGGCATCACTTCCAGGGTGCATCAGTCTGTCGCTGTGGGGGTTAAGATATTCTTTTCAATCGTGCCCCGTTGCGCCTGTTAACCTTTTAACCTGCTAGTGCCATGCTTATGTCAACCTCTTGCTTGACCCCACAGACTCCGCAGGCTTTTTGCCAAACATGTCAAATCCCGTCCCGAAATCCCTAGTCCACATCCTTGCGCCCGAGCAGCTAAGGTGGGCTTCGGCGACTACAGCCCGCAATCGCAGTTGGGACGAGCCCTGGGGCCATTTTGCATGATGGCAGGCACAACGAGCGACACCCAAAGACAAGCAATTTGAAGGTCGGTGTTGTTTTGACATTGTATGCGGCCGCGCGTCTGGCGGATGGTCCCGGAGCATGCGTCACAGCTTCACGCATTGAAGGCTTCAGCGTGCTGGGGTGGCATGTTGTGCGTTCAAGGGTATTGACGTGAGTATGCGTGAGGGAAAGGAGTAGGAAAGAGCTCGAGACGTAGGAAGACGTGCACAGTCTCAAATCCAATAAGAGGGGAAGCAAAGGAGTGCGAGGCACGACAGCCTACTCGAACCGAACCGGTGGACAGATTGCCCGCAGGCGTCCTGTCCTACACGAACTTGATCCGTAGAATGTCCGACATCATCCGGGCTCGCGAGGAGACAACAGCCCTTGAGATCCAGACCATTGTGTGGGTTCTTTGAGGTTGTTTGGGGTCGTTGGATTCTACAAATCTTGAGGATTGGCAAAGCTGTGTTTTGGGGACTAGGTGCCAAGGTTTACGAAAAAAAAGGAGTGGGTCAGCATGTTCGCTTGCCCTACCCCCTCTGGGATGGCCCGTGTCACCTGGAGAAGGTTTCTCCGCCCAGGAAAAGATACAGGCCACAAAGCTCCGGGCTTGGAGCCTTGAGGGCAGACACAATCTCAGGTTCGGAAGTTGCATTATCCAAGACCATTCCAACTCCACTGCAGCAACAATGGCTAAACTACTTTGAAATCCCTGGGTCTTGCTTCGAGCCATTGAAGCACATCGCCACAGGAAGTGTACAAGGAGAAGCGGCGCTGCACACCTGACGTGTTCCGGCCCCTTGCCAACTTCTGGGATCTAGGTAGGTAGGGTAGAGATGGGTAGAGGACCTTGACCTGCAGGAGCTGTTTCGAAGCTCTTTCCATTTCCCTCTCTGTGCAGGCTGATCGACACCAGTGGGAATGGCATCATCGACCGGAATGAGCTGCTTGGGCTGCCCAGAGACTATGTGACTAAGTGCAGTGCAGAGACGGAATTTGCCGACGATGTTGAAGCGTGGGTTTTCAAAGGCTTTCCGCGAGGGGGCTTCCTTGTTGAAGTTCAAGAGAGGCTATAGAGGCTCCGTTTTGCTGCGGCGCTCCGAGCCTAAGGTTTCGAGTGTACATGCTGCTGAGAAAGAACCAGGCGGGCTTTGCAGCTATGAACATCTATGAGTCGAAGTGGCTGGAGATTTTGTGTTGCTGGCAGTTTCCAGGTTGGACATCTCAACCCTATGAACCTCCACATGTAGACAAAGGTAAAGAATGCAGCCCAGGTGTCGCCTGAAGCACTGGCCACCGAGCTGAGAGGATGGGTTGCAGAAGGCTTTCCCAAGGTTTGCTGCGATAACGAGGATGCAGGGCCGATCGTATACTGCACTCGTGGGGCTGTAGGGTCTAGAATTTTGTGGTGGCACCGAGTCCCAAGGCGGCCATCGACAAAGTCTTCGATGCCATTGACCTGGACAAAAGCCGGGCCATACGGATCGGGAGGAAGCAAGCGTGACGTGCTCAACTTGCATGGGCACCGAAATGTTTCAAGATCTTTTCGGTCATATTGAATCTCGATCCAGGTTTAGATGTGGGCTTGTGGGTTTCGGCTTTCCATGGTGTTCTTTTTTCTCGCGTGCAGACTCCTTGTGCCACGTTATGTTAACTTTAACGTAGGTCGGGTTGAATCATGTGCCCGCAGCATCTGGTCAGGTGGCGGCGTGACGTTTGATGAGATCAATGGAGTTATGCTTGGGTGAGGTTCCTCCAACACGCATCTCAGGGCTTAGCAGCTCAGCATGCAATTGCACCATGTGTTAAAACCTGTCCGCGCCTTGCAAGTCTAAGCCCTGAGGGAGCTGTGAAGTAGATGCTGAAGTTTGAACTTTTGTTTCACATCCTGCATCTGTTAATGATTGCTTGGCTCACTCGAGCACAAGCCCCTTCCAATTTTGCCAGAGCAGTATCTGAGGATCGCGAATGGTCTTGTGTATACCTACCGTGGAAAATCCAAGTAAATTGCGCAGATGCCCTATGGTCCGGGTTTCTATTCTGTCCAGTTTATCCTGGAAGTTCCTGCACTTGGGCGGGTGGTCTCGCAGCATCTCTGGCGAGCACGAGCTTCGATCGATGCTCCGCGATTGAGGTCGAGCCTTGTGTACTATCGCTTTCCCTACTGAAACGCCGGCCATTGCTGCTGCAACCAAAAAAAAGCGGGCGGATGTGGAGGGGCGATTTCTCTGCTGCTGCCTCAGAGAGGAGCTGCTTCCCCTTTGGTGCGACACGGCCTTCGAGCTGCCCTTGGCGAAGAGCGCACTTGGGGAGGCCGCTGTGCCTCTGATGGCTCAAATATCTTCGAAACAGCACATTAGAGGCGGATCCATTGCTGCAAGATGGGCATGTGTGTTCTATTTGAGGACTGCTAGAGGTGTCACAACGCAGAGGCCGAGCCTCGAAAACTTCGGCTGTTACACATCTGATCGTCGCTGCGCCTCATCTTCCCCCCCGAACCCTAGATCTCGCGAAAACGAGCACAACCTCAAGCCATGAACAGGCCATCAGCCACGAGGCAGTCGTGCAGCTTCTCACGGCTTCATGGCAGCAACAGAGACTAACACACCAATTTCATCACGAATCATGGTCCGACAGAACAGGTCTGGAATCGCCCATGCAGAGCTTCCAGATCGGGCGTCGCAAAAACGTCTTTCTCAACCAAAGCACGGGGATGATCAACCCTTGGGTTGAGGTGAAGGAAAGATGCAGAGAGTGCTTGCAACAATGGCCTTTCAGTTTGCTTGAGGGCCGGGCCCAGAGCCAAGGACACAGTGGTAGCTCAGAGTTGCTCTGTTGGCATCGGTGGCGGCCGCTTCCGCGTCGGTCGCGCCGGGACCCGCTGCCTGAAGATCTGAGGTAGAACTAGCGTAGATCTACCAGGTCCACGGCCCATTAAACGCCACGGTAGAGCCCCTCGTTTTTTTCTAGTTGCTTTTGCTCTTTTCAGGGTTCAAGGTTGAAAAGCGCTTGTGTGGGGGGTTGTGTCCAAACTACCTCTGGCAGAGCACATTGTCAGACCATAGAACGGAGTCTTTGCAGGAAGTCCTTCACGTTCGCATGTGGAATGAATGCTGATAGCTGATAGCTGATAGCTGCTGACACACCAAACAAAAAAGTGCCGCAGAATGAACAAAAGAGCAAAACGACACCGTAAATATTTTGGGCGCGTTCACAAGCACAAACGCTTGTGACAGCCCGTCTCGTGCCAGAAACGTCATACATCCTCGTGCAGAATCTTGTACGAAGAGGCACAGGCCCTTTAAGCACCAGTGTTTTTTGGCAGGTTCACAAAAAGGCATGAACACATGTGACAGCACGCCGTTGTTCCAGAAGCATCATACATCCTCATGCAGGCAGGGCAAGGGTTTAAACAGGGGAAAGCTAGTTGAGAAGTGGGTTGAGGGATCAACAAACGGCGTCACAGGACAGGGGGTGAACAAAAGCAAGTTCTTGCACCCATGGGTCCGGAGGGAGCGCGGTGTACTATGGGCCGTGGGCTACTACAAAGGTCGCCACGGGCTGTTGCATCACGCATGAAACTTCTAGAGCTCTTGGGGCTTCGGTTCCATGCGGGCCGGCTCAGCCCTCGAAGTTGACAGTTTAGCACCGGCATTGTGTGCTTGCAATGTGTTGGGATCTAGCTTCTATGAAATTGCCAGTCCTTGAGCCAGGAACATGCTCCACATCTCGCTGAAGGCTGCCGGTTTATCACTTGGGTTCAAGCGACAGTGCTTGCTGGCATCGCAGGTTCTTATCCGGTGTGTTTAGAATCAGTCCTGGCATGCTTAAAGCCGGGGAACCCATTCCATTGAAAGCAAAGAAACAATATGAAGTTTCCACGTTGCTTAGGGCATGTCCCATAAAACCTGTTCTGATGATAGTCAACTCGGTTTGGTCCTTATCAGGCTGCCCGGAAACCAAGCCTAGCCTTGCCCAAACTTAAAGCCGTGATTCTCAAGTTGGAACGAGAAGCAGCAAAGAAAGCAAGCACACATCAAGACAAAGGGAAAGGAGAGGCCTGCAGAGCGTGGAAGGTCGAGCGCAGCCGCTATGCGGAAGCCGCGAAGCTGCTGGCAAGGCTTGTGGCTGACGTGGAGACCTTTGGCGGCCTTTGGCGGCGCAGAGGTGTTGCTTAAGGGAAAAGCAGGAAGCAAAAGATCGTCACCGGAGCTACTCTCAAGGATGTACAAATGTGTAGCACGGAAAATTAGCACGGCAAGGGTGCAAGTTCCAGAAATGCGTGATGACAGTTGGGATCGGATAGAAGCCATGTTTCCATCACATCATGTTAGCCCGTTGCTGCGTGCTGATGTTGCACAACCGCGGCTCCAGCAAGATGAGGTTCTCAGTGGATCGCCTCCAAATTGCAGCCAAGCGGATGCTGAACGATGTCCCGAACCACAAGAGAAACGGCAAGGCGCCTTAAACCATTGCAGTCTCTGCAGGGACTTGAGTCGCAGATTTTGTGTGTGTGTGGGTTCCGACTAAACTCTTAAAGTTTGTAGAAGCAGCACATGGTGTGGCACATGTGGCAATGTGGCTTCTCTCAAAAGCACCGTTTCTTGAGCTGGATGAGCATGTGCATGAAGTGGGTTGCTCAGGGGCTCATGCGCCTGGCTGTCGATGCTTTCCACTTCTCCGATGACTGTGCTGTGGGCACCACGCTCCTGGATAGTGATATTGAGAGCTGGCAGGGATCGACATTGAATCGACACGTAGTTGACCAAATCCAAAGATCCAAAGCACATCAAACGCATCTCACAGAGTCTCGGAGTGTCTCGGGGAGTGAGGTCTGCCTTCCGCGTGGAGCAGCTCCTGAAGGCCATGCAATGACAGGTCCTTGTCACCCTAACCCTCCCCAAGAGCTACAGCAGCCTGTGACTGACTCAAGAGACTCCCTAAAAGGAAAGGCGGAACCCTCCTCAAGCAATCCTGCAGCCAGGCCGTTGTAGAGGATCGCGCGGTTCTTGGACTGGTTGCCTCGGAGCCACGGCCAGTTTGGCACAGTTAGGAGTGCATGGCTTGAGTTCAGCCCCAATCTGAGGTGTTTAGGTGCGTATTCCCATGCTAAAGGAGTTTGCTGCAAGGGTTGCCGATCTGCTTGGCAGTCTAACACCCAGCCTTTCATGTCAACGCCATACGACACTTACTATACCCGAAGAGAGGAAGCTGGGCTTAGCCGCTTGTGACAAATGGTCACGCTTCGTTTCTTCTTCCGGACTTCTTGTGCAGCATTACATGATCTGCGATGGGCATGATTTGCAAAGCAAAGGGGCAGGTTCAAATGTTAAGCCCAGCCGAGTGTTTCCAAGATGGGGCCGAAGGTTCAGGGGAGCTGTAGGTGCAATTCGCCACGAGATGTGGCAGGGCCTTTCAAGCGGTTCGGGGACGGTTTTCCGCGCCTTCACAGCAAATACCCCAGCTCAGGAGCTCGCGGCGCTAAGAAGCGCTTTGCTGGCTGCCGGTGGGCAGGCACCCCAAGAATTGTGAAGACACGAGGGTGTTCAATTCGGGGCCAGTAAGGGCATTTTTGAGAGCTGCTCTTGCGTGCTTAGGGCTTCGGAAGTTGCATATTGATAGGCCTGAGGTTCCAGCGTGTGGGAGATGGCACTGAGCATCAATCTGGCCAACAAAGGCACCTCACTCGTGGTCGAGCACACACATGTGCACGACCGAATTAGCCTGGTGTACTAGACGAGAGCAGGCCTCTTTCAAGTTTATACTTTATACCCTTTCGCAGTACACCTCGAGTCCTTCAGGCCCGTGTGGCTGGGGACGTGGCGGCTCTCGACGACGTGTTTGGCCCCTGGTGCAGCGGGCCATGGGCAGCGAAGTTTGGAGGACAGTGCTTGTGCTCCGCAATGTATGGGTGTCGGTCTATCATGCATTCGCATGCATTCGCATGCGTTCGCATGCGTTCGCAAGGCTTCAAGGGCTGGGGTCTTTTGTTCTCCTTTTCACCGTCGGGACCCAAGACCACAGAACCCTGGCCCAGGCGGCTATGGCAGCAGCCCGCTGGCTCGGCCTTTCCTCGCCAGGGAGCTCCATGCGTTCCGGCCCGATGTTGAAGATCTGTTCGGATCTGTCGGCGCTTTAGTTCTTGAGGGCCCATTGGGCTTCTCATGCTTCTCATCTTCGAAATTCACGTAGTGTTGGGAGGGTTGGCAAGTCGAATGATCCGTGCTGGTGCTATGCTTTCATTGCGACCTCAAACCTCCCAAGGCCCTGGATGCGCTGAAGCCTCCTGACGGGTCGGGCTGCCAAGTTCAAAGCTTTGACCACCCCAGACGAGAGAAAAAACCACGGTAGAGGACAAGGGCACAGGCATTGGACACCGAGCAGACCCCAGGCAAAAACTGTAACCGTTAGGGCGATAGAATACGCCGAAGCTGGAAGGTCGACTCTCGGCTGTCTCATCACAAGCTCAGCGGAGGCGCGCTTCTGGAGATTCTATCAAAAGTGCCCTCTAGATGTTGGCGTCTGGGTCCTGTTCTCTTGTTGTGTGAGTGAGGTGTCCTATTAATTGTAAACGCTTGCGCGCGCCGCCTCGGCAGCCGGGCCGGCCCCAGGACAGGAAAGGAGGAAAGAGGGTTTCGCAAAGCAAAGAGGAAGGGCAGAGGGGTCAAGGGGAGGGGGTGGGGTGGGGGGGGGTGGGGGGAGGGGGGTGGGGGGGGGGGGGGGTGGGGGGGGTTGGGGCGGTTTTGAG